TTTCTAGATTTAAGAATGTCTCGTATAATTACGTGGTCTTGGCACAAGGCTTGAGGTGCCATCTGGTAAATTACAATGTAAGCATAAATCTCCTACCTTTTTAGTTTGCAAACTGTTAGCGTGTTCACAGATCCTCTATCTGATATTCTCTTCAAAGTCCGTCGAGCGCGCGTGATAAAAACTAACAGTACAACCAGTGATTAGAGAGGCCAAGGACATTAAAACTTTTAAGCGATCTCTTGAAGCCTTCATGTCTAAATGCGTTCAAATTTTATAAGGATTTTTATTTTATCTGTAAATTTTATTTGAATGTAAATATTATCGGAACAATATTAATTGTAAACATCATTTTTAGCGTAAGAGTATGTTAGATTGCTCGTTATAACTTGATTAGTTTTTCTTGGTTGATTTTATTTTTACATTTATGTTATTGTTATGAAGTAGTTGCTGTTAGTTCTGTTTTGGAGTTTTGGTATTTTTAAGGTTTTGCTATCCGAATGATTTTTTTGTAGCACGCGCTAGTTTCTTAATAAACAGTTCATAGTCCAAGGAAATTCAATGTATAGGCCACACGGTTAGTTCCTGAGTTTTGAGAAGTATCGTCTATCGAAAGGATTTGTTAAGCTTGTTGTAGTTCTTTGAAGTAAGCATGTTAGGGGATTATAGCTGACCTTGAGTTTTGCCTCCACTGAAGTTCCTGTTTTGTATGATTGGTCCTAGCGAGCAGTTTTACCGCTAGCATTCAATTGGCTCTTTAGTACTTGTTAATTGCGACAGTGTAGACTAGTCTATCGTTCACAAGTTCAGCGACAGGATATGCAATGGAAGGGTCTCATGGTCAGCTAACCCAAACACGTCCACAATTTCGTTATTTAATTCGTTGTGTAAGCTAGTAGCGTTAGTTGAGTAGTAGAGTTGTTGTCAGAAGCTTTTGAAGAATAAACTGCTGTCTAAGGTAGAACGAACAGAGTCTTGGTCCTCTTCGTTAAAAAGCCAAGCGAGCTACACAAGCCCCTAACATTATTATACTCGCACTGACACTTGACGAGCACATCTGAGCTCCTAGGTGTTACGTGTTTAAATATGCCTTTTCCGAGTTCCCTCGGGCCTCTGTTTCAAAACGAGAGTAGATGCTCAGCCTTTGATATGGAAATCATTTTTCATTCTCATGCAAGTAAAACTCATTTTCACAAGAAAGGTTGTGCACCTAGCGTCATTTTGAAAGTGAAGGTTTTTGGAACTCGGAAGTGGCCTATTTGATTGATTGATTCAGAAACAGGCGATGACATTACGTTCGCGCTCAACAGAGCCTCCTGGAGAGCTTGCCTCGCAAGCTAAAACTAAATGTTTTCCATATCAACACGGCAAAAGTTCTTGCCACACCCATTGTTGTAATCCATCCAAAGCTATCGTTAATACTTGAATTGCATATTCAGCATCACTTCAACTGATAAACTTCAATTCCAGAGTTTGTCTTCTAAGCCTTTATTATTTTTCAAAAGGCATGTAGCTCTATGGGATGACCTCGATCGAATTTTTAAAATCCAGAAACGATTAGGTCCAGTTATGTTGGACACCTTCACCAACGATAATAAAGTTAAAGTTGTAAACAACTTAAGTTGGCTACCTATAAATGACCCCACAATTTGAATTATGGAGCTTTATATTTTTCTCCAAAATTATACTGTCATTTTGCACCCTGTCAATACGTATCGTACTGCCTTTTAACGTTTCCACTTAAAATTGGAACTTTTTGGCGTTTTTCTCTAGATAGTAAACTAAGTTTGGAATTGTAAGGGTGACATCTTTATGTTTCCTGTTTCATATTCAGTCTGAGCTCTCTGTTGGCATCAAAGGGTATGAAATCTTCATACTGACGAAGCAGCCTGGGGCGCTTTCCATTCAACCCAAAATTCCGGTAATTTCGGTTTGTACATCAAATGGAACGGACCATTTCGGTTTGGTCCGACCGGAATATTCGGCACCAGCTTTGAAGGTGATCCACTTTAACCGGTCCGGTTATCTCGATCGGTCGGATTAAAATATCTCTTTCCATTTGACAAAATTGTTGTCCCCAGTACCGCTCTTTTGCATCCTGCTTACAAGAACATTAATAACCAAACGCGCGGTGGCTAGGGTCGGATCTGTGCAACCGGAATGTACCATTCCATTGGGCACGTGTAATTTCCGACATTTCAAACCGGAATTTTTGTTGAACGGAAAGCGGCCCTGGATACTACAGAGGTCACTACAGTTTAGCAAGCTACAGTCACGTGATTGATAATCATCAAGAATGTTCTATTGTAAGAAGCCAAATTTTCTTCAAATTACCAGTTTCCAGTGTCCAAATCCCATTCTCTCGGGTAGAAATAATTCACAAAAAGATCACAGCAGCCTTAGACATACCAGCTGTTTTCTCTTACATTTTCTACGAACTACCCAACGATGACACAAAGGTAAGAAACTGAGATTTGCCTTCAAGTTACAACTCTCTAGGACAACAATCACAACAGGGACCTTTTGACTGTAATTAAATAGATACTGTAGGAAAGTTAAAGAGGTTTTAGCACCTCCAAGTCTTCGTAAACTTTGTTTTCATTATCCACTGGGCGAGTCCCTGTCCCACGACCAAAATCCCATTTTCCCAGAGCTAAAACATGCCATTCCCAGTCCTTATTTTACCCCCACCAGGATTCTCTAATTAATAAGATATGCAAAAACACTTTCGAAATATTAAAAGGTAAATATATGAGCAAAGATGTATTTAATATAATTATCACAGTTAAGCGCATTGCTAAGACTACAACTGATTAACGAAAATCATTTGGAGCTACTTAGCGGACTTTGTAGGACCAGTTCAGTAGATTATGCTGCACAGGAAGACCAGGGAGCCACCTTTCTTTGTAGTAAAAGTGATTTTTGAGCTATCATAAGCTGCGGGACGTTTAGTGGGCCGCAAAGGGAGAAAACAAAATCAGATTCCTTAGTCGACAGAACAACAATACTCCACTACAGTTGAGTTACTCAACGTTTATTTAGATCAGTGTTTTTTTTTCCGGGTAATTCAAGTGACCTGCGGAGGTAATCTGCGATCAGGCAGATCATGGGTCCTAATGTACGTTTACAAAAATATTCCGCTTGATCGAAATTCTTGGGCACACGTACATTGAACAAAAATTAAATTTGAGCTTGTGGCTGAAGTACCAGCTAAAAACTACATTCAAATCAGCTGGAAAGACCAAAAAGAGCATAGAAATCACGTTAACTAATAAGACTGAGAGAACCCATATTTTCTAGAACTTCCTAACTTGACAAAATGGGAGGAACATTCGATTTTCCAAATGAAACTTTTCGGTTTTCCCATGTAAGTAGTCGTTTCGCGTTGGCTTTGGCGCACCAGCAACTGATAATTTCTCTTGTTTGGGCTTGGTCACGGGTTGAAGATGTGCACGCTTTGTCATTTGTTGATAGATACCTCACACTCCTGCCCGTGTTTCTGATAACTTATGCAGGACTCAGAATCACTTTTAGAGTTTGTAATGGACCGAAATATACAGTTAATGGATTAAAATACCCAGACACCCAGCTTAATACGAGTCACAGACAGCCCACATTAGCTGAACATAGTCCTCGGGAGTGACATTGCTACTACTCATTTGCCATGACGTCATTCTTTTTGGCATCTGGGCAGAGATAAGGACAAATATTATCAGCTGAATACGAAAACCAAAAACAACAACAATTACAAATAAAACAACAGTTTTAATTAACACGTGTGGCTGTAAGAGCAGGCGGTACTAAGTAAGAGATAAGATAAGATAATTTATTAAACGTCAAATACACAGGGAGTGGTTACCCAGTCTCCCGAGCAGGAGGCTCATGTTAAAAGTGATTGACAGTTAAAAACTAAGAATTAAAAAGCCTAAAAGTCTAAAACAGGTTAAGTAAAATCAATGCCGCAAACTGACATATAGATAAATTGATAACAGTGGAAAGCTAATTTAAAATACAAATAGAAAAATTCCTAACTATGTCTAAAGAAAACTAAAAAAAATGTACACAATCAATCACAATTTAATTAAGAAAAATATCAAATGCAGTTATTGCACTGACATCCAGTGAAGTTGTGATTCTTTAAATGACTGCGAAAGGATGCAAACTAGAGATTACGCAAAGACTACACTACATGTAATGTACAGTCGAAACTCTTTCAAACGGCCTTCCTCAACTTAGCAGCTAGTCATCAAAACTGGCGACAATAAAGAAATCAATGGAAGCCAGACCTCAATTAAGAGGCCAATTCTCCCTTCCCCGAAAGCAGAGTCACTGCTTGATTGACGTTCGACTGTAGTTGTAAGATAAAACTTGAAAAAACTGAATGTGTTGTTATCATTTGAGCCTGAGCAAAATTAAAACATATTTTTTGTAATTCAAAATATTACTCCGTTTCCTGTTGGTTTAAACAAAAGTACACAAATAAACAAATAATCTTGTTCTGTTCAGCGTAAGACGCTCAAAACAGGATATTTCTTTTTAGCTTTTACATCAAATAATTTCTGACACTTTTACATTCAAAACCCCGCAAAGCAAACTTACGGCGTGAACTAAGCACCTGCTAGGCAGTCAGATGCGAGAAATTTTAATACTTGCATCATTAAATAATTGTGTCTTGTTCATCGCTAAAGTTGAGGGAAAAAATGGCGTCAACCCCAGCAAATCAGAGTTGAGTAACTTTGCTCTTAATGTGATGATAAATATAACATAACAATATCAATGCAATTAGAGAACGAATTACAAAAGTTCTAAGAGTTCTCCGAAGACGACTCGTTTGACTGTCCTACAACTTACAATTATTATTCTGGTAAATACAAGAATAATGATCATTACGATGTTCCTCGATCATTTTAACGTTACTTATTTACATACTTTTCTTTATCTTCCTCCTCCTCCGCATCATTATTATAATCATCCTGATCGTCAATTTATCATCATAATCATGCTCAATCAAAACATAGTTCAGCAGTTGTATTTACCTTGCAGACATTGGGCAATTCAGCAGCACCAGAATCACCAATACTGTTCTCACTCAAATCCAGCTTAGTTAAGGAGTAGTTGACTGCGAGAGCCTGGGAAAGAGATGCAGCACCAGAATCACCAATGCGGTTCCCACTCAAATCCAGCTTAATTAAGGAGGAGTTGACTGCAAGAGCCTTAGAAAGAGATGCAGCACCAGAATCACCAATGCCGGTCGAACTCAAAACCAAAGTAGTTAAGGAGGAGTTGACTGCAAGAGCCTGGGAAACAGATGCAGCACCAGCATCACCAATGCTGTTCACTCTCAAATTCAGCTTAGTCAAGGAGGAGTTGACTGCAAGAGCCTGGGAAAGTGATGCTGCACCAGAATAACCGATGCTGTTCGCTCTCAAATGCAGCTTAGTCAAGGAGGAGTTGACTGCAAGAGCCTGGAAAAGAGATGCAACACCAGAATCACCAATGCGGTTCCCACTCAAATCCAGCTTAGTTAAGGAGGAGTTGACTGCAAGAGCCTGGGATAGAGGTGTAGCACCAGAATCACCAATACTGTTCCAACCCAAATCCAGCTTAGTTAAGGAGGAGTTGACTGCAAGATTCCAACTCAAAGCAAGCTTAGTTAAGGAGGAGTTGACCGCAAGACCCTGGGAAAGAGATGCAGCACCAGGACATCCAATCGAGTCGTTACTCAAATTCAACTTAGCTAAGAAGGAGTTGACTGCCAGAGCCAGGGAAAGAGATGCAGCGCCAGAATCACCAATGTCGTTTCGACTCAAATCCAGCTTACTTAAGGTGGAGTTGACTGCAAGAGCCTGGGAAAGAGATGCAGCACCAGAATAACCAATATTGTTCCATCTCAAATTCAGCTTAGTTAAGGAGGAGTTGACTGCAAGAGCCTGGGAAAGAGATGCGGCACCAGGACATTTAATCGAGTTGCTTCTCAAACTCAAATTAGTTAAGGAGGAGTTGACTGCAAGAGCCTGGGAAAGAGATGCAGCACCAGGACATTTAATCGAGTTGCTTCTCAAACTCAAATTAGTTAAGGAGGAGTTGACTGCAAGAGCCTGGGAAAGAGATGCAGCACCAGACTCACCAACGCTGCTTAAATCCAAATTCAGATTAGTTAAGGAGGAGTTGACTGCAAGAGCCTGGGAAAGAGATGCAGCACCAGACTTACCAATACTGTTATAACTCAAATCAAGCTTAGTTAAGGAGGAGTTGACTGCAAGAGCCTGGGAAAGAGATGCAGCACCAGACTCACCAATATGGTTAACACTCAAATCAAGCTCAGTTAAGGAGGAGTTGACTGCAAGAGCCTGGGAAAGAGATGCAGCACCAGAGTCATCAATGGAGTTTTTACTCAAATCCAAATTAGTTAAGGAGGAGTTGACTGCAAGAAACTGGGAAAGAGACGCAGCACCAGAATCGTTAATCTGGCTCTCCCTCAACTTTAACTGAGTAAAGTTAAGGTGCTCCCATAAGGTTTGAAGTAAACTTGCGTTCTCAGATAGACTACTTACAGCAAATAATACACGTTTTGAAACGACATTAGCTGTGTCTGTGTCTAACTTAAGACTTGTGAAATTGATATTTGCAGCCACGCTTTTAACGAGAGATTCTGCCGTTTTCTTACTTTTTGACACTAATATTCCTATCAAGAATACAAATACTTGATATAGTTCACTCTCATATCTTTGATCAGTCACTACTGACTCGCAGCTCATTTTTCCTTCAATAAGTTTGCAAGCAAGAAAGAAACCAGAAAAGAATTCTTGAAAGCTCTTATGAGGAAACGCGTAACGCGCAAGAACTCTCCTCTTACTGCCAGCAGGCTGAAGTGAAAGGAATCCCATCTTGGATAAGACGATACAGCGACCGTCTGATTTATGTTCTTCAAAACACAACTCTCCATTTTGAAGAGACTCCAACGCCATTCTACCGAGATATAACAAGTCTTTACTGTAGACGGACAAGAGGTCTTTTTCCTCGCTGGATATTCCTTGCTTTTGCTCATATCTTTCCAAAACAATAAGAACAATCTCAATGTACAATTCAGTCCTGCTCGTTGGAAACACGCCCTTTAAATCCTCCCAGATAACACAAAGTAAAGCAGTGTTTAACGGATTTGTTGTCAAATCGCTCAGATCTTTAGGTTTTCCAGACTCAATTAACCAGGGGTCAGCCCATACCATTTCTATAAGCTTCCTGGCCAAATGCTCTTTGTTGACGTTTTTAAAGTATTTATGAATAAAGCTTTCTGCATCCTCCCGCGTAAATCCTACAATCTCCCAAAGAGTGTCACAGTACCGCCTTGCATTCCTTCCAGCCTCATGAAGAGACGTGAGAACAATGTAACAACTGGAGAGTTCTTTACCTTCAACAAGGTTATAAAACATTTTGAGGTTTCTAGGATCCGCTTCGTCTAGTCCATCCAGCACTAATAGAACTTTGGACTGATTTTCACGAATGAATTTAAAGAAGCATTCCTTAGCTTGAGTGTCCATTTCCTCGGGGAGAACTTGATCATCATTAGCTTCCCAGATGTCAGACTTCATTTCGTGACATTTGAGAAGCAGTAGCACTTCAATCTCTGGAAAAGACGGGTCCCATTTGTCCTGCTTAGTGGCCCAATCATACGCCAGCTTTTGACAGTACGTGGTTTTTCCCATACCAGGACCTCCTTCGATCAAGACTGTTCTCGGCCTTCGGCAGTCGTAGCGCGCTTCAAAGATTGCAGTCATATTGGTTATATCATGAGTACGTACTCCTCTGGTTTTTTCTTTTCCCACGATCTTTAATCCCGTAAAAATATCATTTATATTAAAGCTAGAATCTTCTAACCAAGGGACGGGTAAGAGGCGTTGTTCACGTGTTCTGTAGAGCTGACGAATCTTTTCTATGGCATCCGTTGGGTATAGAGAATCTACAATTGGAAATTAATAAAAGCCAATTTAGTTCATTAGTTTTTTAATTGTTGCCGATATAGTTTTTAATATGGTGGGAGGGGGTGGGGGGGGGGGGGGGGGGGTGGGGGTGAGATTGAGCGTGGTTAATCCCAGGAGCATGAATTCGTATTCACCGACGTTTTTTTTCCGTCGCACGCCAATTTCAGAGATTTGCCAACTAAAGTCACCCTAAGCTTAAGAAACAGGGGAGTTTTACTCATTGTGATCTTATGGAGTAGGTGGGGGAGGTATCGATCTTCAGTCCACGAAAATAAAGCTCGATCTACGATAGATTAAAACCTGTTTTTGCGGTTCTCTGGTATGCTGGCTTATGCCATCAAAGAGGAAACTTTTTAGATACCTACAAATTCAAATTACCAGAAGTACAATGTTTTATCAACTGAAGATTTGATTTGCCATTTTATTACTATTTAGTTTCGTACTACATGGTGGTGTAGCACTCTTCAGATAAAATAGCCTGCTCTGCAGATGAATGTACACTCTTTACGTAAAACTGACCGGGGTAAAAAGCACTTTTGGGTATAAAAAAATTTGAGGTAGCCTCCTCGCAGCGCAGCCTCATTGGAATAGAAATTTGAAACCTATGGATGCCAGAACATCTGGTTATGAAGTCAGCGTATCACCGTCCGCGCGTACAGACTGTGGGAGAGGCAAAAGGGGAGACTCTTGATGAGAGTGCACTGGTTTGTCGTGGCGAGAAGGTAATCAGTTTACAGGCAACTAAAAAAGTCGCTCCGCTAAAAATCTTGACGTTTCTTGTGTTTGTCTAAGACAAAAACCTTCAAGAATAAATTTTCAAGGCTTTGTTTCTAGTTTGGTCACGCTTTGGTCGCGCTCCAGGACCAGTCTAGTTTCCGACTAGTCAAAATTTTGACAGGTGAATGCTCGCGTAAAAACATTAGCCTCCCACGCAGACGTTCTTAGGGGTTCGTCACGCGTTCCTGCCCCACCAAGAACGTCTGCGTGGGAGGCTATAAAAACATATTCAGCTTCTGTAAAATAAATTTTTCCGACAACTGAAGCTTTGAGAACTTTTAAGTTTTACTTTACTTCTCGTTTTCTTCTACCGCTATCAAGATTTGTCTGTTATTCAAAGCTGGTTTGTTTATTTGGTAAATCTAAATATTAGACCAAAGTATTTATCTTACCAGCTTGGTCATGAAGAGCTTGCTCAATTGTACAAAGTTCGGTGAACACCACAGATGACAGATCACTAGCATCTTTTACCCCTCCCTGCTCAGGACCTGATGGAATACAAACCAGTAAGTCACAGCTACAATATATATCGTTACTATAAAAGCAAAGCAAAACAAAGTAAAACAACTGAAGCTTAGAGAACTTTAAAATTTTTCCTTCTCATGTTCTTCCACTGCTATCAAGATTTTTCTGTTATTCAAAGCTGCTTGTTTATTTGTGTTACGCGGGTAATCTTTTAGAGGACGGATAGCTTGCAAACTAAACTGAACGCAGGGTTGTCGGAACAGCAACAAGAAGATTTATTCCAAAAATGAACGTAGTTTCCACGAAGTAAAACTCTACAACAGCACGTAACTCGTTAAACTTACACGGCCTCCGCCAACTTGAATTAACTTGATAAACTTACACGACCTCTGCCAACTTGAATAAACACTGCTTTCGTCACACTTGACTAAACACGACTAACGTCGAACTCTCCTCGCTTGTGAAAACTAGTTAAAACTTAACTCGGACTCGCCTACTTATATAGTTTCACAACAACATTCTAGAACTTTCTAAATAGTCTAATTATAGAAAGATTACAAAATATACCGCTTTTAGAAACGCTTACACAAGATCCTAAAATAAACAAACTATGAACTCTCGCGAAGCTTCTAGAAAGTCACGCTAGTCACGCGATACAATTTTTCGTAACATAACCCCCTTTCAGAAGAAATTTCCTAAATTTCCAATACAACAGAAAAATTGTAAGGTAATATACAACAGGGGTAGTTCAGTGTATCTCAGGTTACTCTTCTACTCGACTAAGATAAACCGCTCCAACATTCTCTGATCCTTTGATGGCTTCGACCTTGAAATTGTAACTTTGTAGAAACATCGCCCATCGCATTAGTCGTGCGTTGGTATATTTTGCACTGTCCATGTACTTTAGCGGCTCGTGGTCTGTCTGCAGCACAAAAGGTACACCGTACAAATATAGATGAAATCTCTTGATTCCCCATACAATCGCTAGGCATTCTTTCTCGATTGTAGAATAGTTGTGCCCCGCACTTGACAATTTCTTGCTTGCATAACAAACCGGGAATAATTTCTCTTCGTGCCTTTGCATCAATACTGCACCAATTCCATTGTTCGAAGCGTCCGTCCGTAAGAAATAGGTTTCAGCTGGATCGGGGAGGCGTAGAATAGGTTCACTTGTTAGGTAGGACTTGACTGTTTGGTAGGCTTTCTCTTGTGCTTCACCCCACTCAACTTTATTGGGTTGGCCTTTCCGTGTGAGATCAGATAACGGCGCTGCGATCGCTGCGAAGTTGGGAATAAAATCTCTGTAGTATCCTGCTAGACCCATAAATGACCGCACCTGTTTCTTTGTGCTTGGCCTTGGGGCATCTTTAATTTTCTCCACGTTATCCTGATGTAGACCAATTATTCCTTGCTCCAGTCGATGGCCTAGGAAATCCACACTGTTTACTCCGAATAGGCACTTCGTAGGTCTAATAGTCAACCCAGCTTGTACAAGGCGCGAAAACAGCTCTCTGAGGGCTCTAATATGCTTTTCCCACGTACGGGTGTGAACCAATATATCATCCCAGTAGAAGTCGACATCGTCTAGATCTTCTATCAATTTCTTCATTGCACGCTTCAGTGTTGCCGCCGAGTTAATCATTCCAAACGGCATCTTCAAAAACTCGTACGACCCGTCAGGTGTTACGAACGCAGTTTTCGAAATGTCCTCCTCTGGTATAGCTATCTGCCAGTATCCCTTGCTAAGGTCAATTTTTGAAAAGAATTTGTCTCCACTAAGCTTCTGGAACAAGTGTTCAGCAGTTGGCATAGGCTCAGGATCAAATACAGTTAGTTTAATTAATTTCCGATAATCAACGCACACGCGGTTTGTGTTGTCTTTTTTCTTCACTACTACAAAAGGTGATGCATACGGAGAACTGGACTCTCTAATAACTCCCATTTTGATCATGTCGTCAATATCTTTTCTCAGTGATTCTCTCATGCTGTAAGGTACAGGGTAAGGTCTTGATCTAATTGGCTTGTCTGAGGTTAGTTTAATATGATGCTGAACGAGATCTGTAGTACCTGGTGCTTCAGTAAACAAATTCGTGAACTGTTTAGCCAGATCCGTAAATTTTGTTCGTTGCTCGACCGTAAGATTCGGTCCAGTTGTAACATCCTCAATTGATTCCTTGGCTACATAACCACCAAGCTCTAGGAAATCAACCTCTTCTTCCTCTGCTTCATCAACTTTAGCCGCACAGTCGACAGCATCGTCCATACTGGTAGCGCCTGCTCCAACAGCTACTACTCCTTCGACTGTAGTCTCCTCTCGCTCAAAATACTTTTTACTTTTTTTCCTTCTTCACTGGGAGGACTGATAGGCCCAACAAGATCTATTGCTACTCTCTTAAAGGGCTTGTCAATTAGCGGCATCTTCTCTAACGGTACCTTCGGCACTGATCCCTTACTTACGGTCTTCTGACAAACGACGCAGGACTTGCAAAATCGAGTCACGTCACCTTGAATTTCAGGCCAATGAAACGCACTCTGGATCTTGTCTGTTGTTTTCTTGATGCCCATGTGACCGCCCATGATCATTCCCTGAGCTACTTCCATTATGGGGCGTATCAGCTTCTCAGGAACCATGACTTGTTTAAGCGGTTTACCACCATTCACATAAGGATGCTTGTACAGACGGTATAGTACTCCACATTTTTCTAGTACATCGCCTCGATCCCAGTACTTGCGCAGGCTCTCATCTTCACGCTGCATCTGCTTGAGCTTCTCTCTATCCACGATAGGGCTCTCACGGCTACTTGGCACCTTCAAGGCTGTGCGTTCATCCTTTTTCTTAGCTTGACTTATTGTAGTCACTGCACAGGCCTCTTGCCAACTAGGGTCTGGATTTTGTGCGTCCCTGGCATCAGGTACGTTGCCAATAATAAGGTCGTAGATAGGATCTGAAAGGCACTGCGCTTCTACGTGGCCCTTAAGATAAGGGGTATCGACATAAATTCTTGCTATGGGCACCTTCCTTGCAGTGTTGTCAATAAGCAACATAACGTTAAAGTCTCCGGTGAACTGATCCTCGCCGACAAGGTTCTTCCTGACTACAACTCCACTGCAACCAGTATCTCTTAAAACGTCAACAGTCTTCTCTCCAACTCTACCTTTTACAACAGGCATCTTACTTCTTACTCCAGTTAAGGGTTCAACACAGGCATTACTCAGCAACGGGACTTTCTTGCCACAGGCTAACAGAAGCTGATCATCTTGAATACACGACTTGACTTCCTCGGGGGTAGCGTTAAGATCGGGTGACTTAACCAAACAGCCAGCACTAACTTGACCACGTTGCACAGGGTTACCATCCTTACCTTGGCCTCCTGACTTTCGTCCACCTGATCGACAGTTCCTCGCTTCATGACCTTG